CCCCCCCAATGGCTGCCCCACCTACCCCAGCTCCTGGCTCTTTAAAAAAAAGCCTCCACTCACCAGCTGCTGCAGTGGCCTCAGGGCATATGGGGGCTCATGGCAGAGCCCCCAACACAGTGCAGGGCAGTGGGGGGGAAGTGGGGGGTGTCCCCCCTGCTGGGCAGGAGTCAATGAGTTAGGACTTTTTTTTTTTTTAAAGGGTTGGCAGCTGGGGCGGGTAGGGCAGCCATGGTGGGGCTGGCAAAGCAGGTGGCAGTCAGGGGGTTAATGGCAGAGCCCCCCACGTGGCATGGGGCAGTGGGGGGCAGTGGGGATCGATCCCCCGGCCTGGCAGCAGCCAGTGAGTGGGAGCTTCTTTTTTTTTTTTTTTTTTTTAAAGAACTAGGAGCTGAGAGAGCAGTCGGGGCAGCCATTGAGAGCAGTTGGGGGATGGGGCTGATTTGGAGACTAGGCCAATTCGGCGGTGGCCGAATCAATTCAGGACAGTAATTCGAATCACCCAATCGAATCACTGTCCTCTGAATCCAAAGCGAATACTAACCGCTTCTCACTGGCTTAGTGTTTATGCATTGGCTGAGGATCACATACCCTGTCCTATGCTTTCTATTACATAAAAGTGTCTTCTCTTATGTTCATTTCACATCAGCTGAATTAAGCCAGTTGAGTTGCCTGGTTAGTCTGTTTAGTCCTCAGTGTCATGATTTGGTAGACAGCCCCTGCTTCTGAGAAACTGGGGTGCCGTACAACTTGTAACCTGCGGATCAAAAGCATGAGCATCCTCCATACAGTTCCTCTCAATCTCAGAATAAACCACTCTTATCATACTCAGTACATGCCTATTTCCACGGAGATTAGTGAATTAAAGACAGGCCTTTTTTTTTTTAAAGGACAAATTACCTCAGAGTGTTGATACTGGGTGCTATCACATACTTCTCCTAACATGTTTTCTATTGGAGGCAGGGAAAAGACACTTTTGTAGCATGTCCGGACTAGAAGTATTTTTATCTCAGGCTTCAGTGGTGGCTTCAGTTTTCTGATTAGAGAGAGAAGCTCTTTTAATGACAATCATAATAATGTCTTGAAGCCAGGATAACATGACTGTGGGCACGTCTGCACGAGATGCTAAATGCACAGTACACTAATTCTACGATGCATTAGCGCGTCGTGGCAAAAGCCATGCTATTGCACTGATACGCAGTAGAATTAGCCTACTGCACATTAGCAAAACTAAAAAGGCATGCACCGGTGCTACTGCGCACTAGTTCCGGTTAGTGAGCACTGAGTTAATACCTGTTATTACAGGTACTAAACTTAATGTGCAGTAACTATGGCACATTAATGCACGTGAAGACTTGCCCAGCATTACTTATTATTTAAACACCACCAACCTTAAAAGGGTGTGAGCACTAATCGCAGAAAACAGCAGAACAAAGTGTGTTTGTTTTCTAGGACACAATTTTTCTAACATCACAAAGCAAAACCCATTTTAATAAAATTCATTTAAAACCCATTTGAATAAATTCAGGGCTCAAAAACAGGAAAATTTTATTATGTTCACTTTCTCAAGTTGAAGTGCATAAACACATACTGAAGACATAGGTGGTAATCCATGTTGTCAGAAATAATCAGGAAGATAAAGAACCTGATAAAGAACACAGGAACTTAACTCTAATTTTCAAGAATAATTATTATATATAGAGCTCCTGGTATAAATTAGGACACTAATGTTGTATTCTGGAACCCTTACTGGCATTTAAAACATAAATTTTTTTGTAACTCCTAATGCTTCTATTGCATGATTCAGAAATTATGGCAGCACCATCTAGTGGACACCCCTTGGAGTAACTAGGAACAACGGCCACAGTGACAGAGAGCAGATTTAGGTTAGACATCAGGAAGGACTTCTTTACAGTAAGAGTTGCCAGAATCTGGAATGGGCTTCCAAGGGAGGTGATACTCTCCCCTAGCTTGCGGGTCTTTAAGAGAGGCTAGACATGCACCTGGCTGGGGCCACCTAACCCCAGCACTCGTTC